CCGCCGGCACGCAGATCGTCCTTGCTGGACCAGCACGCGCTCCCAGGTAAACGAGCCTCATCAAGACTCCGTTCCTCATCACGTAGTGGGGTGACATCTTCAGCAAGCTGACCCTTAATTGAAGATCGAGCGCCAACGCTCCATCTTCAAGGAACGCCTTCAATGCCCTCATCCCAGGCACACGTCCTTGTTCTTCTACGAACTTGTCACAATCCAACACGAATACGTCCACAGGAGCCGGGTGCATCAGAGGAGCCCCGCCCTGGAGATCCTCTTCCTGTTCCGCCTGCGTGAGAGGCTCATCCGGCTCCAGCGATCCATTCCTCGGCGTTCCGTCGCCGGGAACCGTAGTCTTGAGATGCTCCCCGACAGGGACGACACCCTCCCCGGCGTTCCAAACGACCGTTCCACCGGGATCCGGCGTTCCTTCCAGCGTTCGTGTCACTCCAGGACTCGGCGTTCCGAGATCGGCTTCATCTTCCGCTTCTTCATTGAGGAGATCGGCCATCCGGATAGCGCCCACTACATCGTCGTCCGGCCATCCGGATAGGGCCCACTACATCGTCGTCCGGTCGGTGGTACAGCCTCGACAGGCCGTCCACATGCCCCATCGACGTTCCCGGTCTGTGGTGCACCTTGAATCGTAACTGTGACAATTCCATAGCCCACCGTGCCAACTTGGCGTTCGACGTCCTCGTATTCTCACCAAAAATCCAAGTGAGCGCCTGATGATCCGTAAACAGGTCGAACTCGGTATGGTCTAAGTAGCATCTGAACTTACGCGTAGCCCACACGATTCCCCAACATTCAATTTTCGTTTTTCACTCGTCTTGTAGGTCCAGTTGGGAGCCTACCAACATCTTACTAGCATACACAATTGCCCGGTCACGCTTGTCGATCTCCTGCATCAGACATGCTCCTACGGCCAAGTGTGACGCATCCACGTGGTGTTTTAATCGTTCCCACTTACGATTGGTTGGAAACTCGGGATGACAATTTTGTATAGTGTGCCTACGTCAAAATACGAGTAAGAATATTTCTTTTTGATAAATTGTAAGTGGTCAGTGATTACGAATTGACGTGAAACTTAATATATTAGTTATGAAAGTACAGGAATCAATGATGGACATTTATTCTTGATATATTCATTTTTACACATCCAACTGAAATTTTCCGAATTCTAAAATAACAGACATTTTATGTGTAATGTATGGTGTATCCCTAATATGG